GCATGGATGTCTTGGGGTCACCGGGGGGTGCTGACATGGGTCCCCAAAGGTTCCTGGGGGGTTGTTGGAGGCTGACATGGGTGTTTAGGGGTCACTGGGAGTGCTGACAGCTGGCATGGATGTCTTGGGCTCACTGAGGGTGCGATGCCCTGGGGTCTGTGGGGGCTTCTGGCATGGGTGCCCCGGGGTCACTGGGGGTGCTGGAAGCTGGCAGGGGTGCCCAAAGGTTCCTGGGCGGGTTCTGGAAGCTGACATGGGTGCTGGGGGTGCAGAATTGTGTTGGCAGCCTGCATGGGTGTCCAGGGGAGTTCATAGGTGCTGTATATGTGGCTCTGTGTGTGGGTACTCAGAGCCTGACTGGGTGCAGGGGGTGCTGGGAGCTTTCAAGGGTGCCCTGGGCGTCCTGGCAGCCTGCAGCAGTGCCTCAGGGTGCCCGGAGCCTGCACGAGTGTGTGGGTCTGCCTAGAGCCCCCATGGGTACCCAGAGTGTGCTGGTGATGCCCTGCAGAGGTGTTGGCACCCATCGAGGTGCCCGGGGGTCCCGTGCTGTGTAGGGGGCACAGGGTGTGAGGGACTGGTAATGGTGAAGGGTGCCCCACACTCTGGGGTGCAGCTCTGCTGCTGCATTGGGGTGCAGGGGGAAAGAGGACTGGGGCAGCACAGCCACGTTGGGGCAGGAACTGTGCCCAGCAGCTTCCTTGTGGGAAGTCTTGCTGTGAGATGTTGGAAAAGTGAATCTGGGGGTGTCTCTGGAGCTGTGGGAGCACTGGGCAGCACAGGGACAAGAGGACTGATGCTGTGACTGGGAGGTGTTGTGCCAGTGTGGGCACAGTGGCCTGGGGAAGGGGCTCACCCGTGGCCTCCCTGCAGGCAGGGGAGGGGGATCTGGCAGTGCTGGCTCTCCCTTGTGTCATGCTGAGGTGGTTTACAAGCAGTGCTCTGGAAATAAAGGATTCAACATGCATGATGGAAAGCAGTAGTGAGTTTTGCTGTGAAGCTCACTTTTCTGGAAGATTTCCCGATCTCCACGCAGTGCCAGCTCAGCTGGGGAGAGCTGCCAGGGTCAGTAGCAAGTCACATCTTGCTTTTGATTTCTGGTGTGGGGCTGTCACTCTAAGGGACGAATTGCTGTCATTACTCGTCCCCCCCTCAGCTTTCCTAGTATGATGAAATTGCTCCTGTGCGTAGGTGGGAAAAAATTGCACATGAAAGTGGCTGAGGAGTCAGGTTTAAAGTGGAAACCGAATATGGCTGTTCCTGTGTTTGCTGTTTGTAATGACGAGGAAATGGTGTAGTGGGTTTTGCTTTGGTTTGAAATATTCATCTGTGTGGATGAGACAAGTTTTGCAGCTTTTTCCTGTTGGTTGCAGGGGAGCCGAGTGCTCTCTCCCTGCTGCTATGCAACCTCTAATCCAGACACAAAGCAGGCAGGCCATGATGAATGCATTTCCCTGGCTCTTCAAAGCAGAAAGCAGACAGGCCTGCTTGGGGAAAAAAAAATCCACAGGGAGTGATCAGGCAGAGTGATGTCACCGTGTTGTGCTTTATCTGGAAGACATCGTTGTTGGGTACTTCAGGTGACATGCAGGCAGTTTTGGGGAGGGGTGTCTATGCCTGACCCAGCCCTGCACCCCTTCTGCCTGCTGTCCTTGCCCACTGCCAGCCCCTGGTGCTTGGCATAGCCTCCCAGCTCTCTCCCCTGCCTCTTGGGCCTGCCACCCAATGATGACAAATGGCTTCTAACGCTTCAAATAGCTTCTAACACTTTCCTTGTGTAAACTCCTGCTGCCGGATCGCCCTGCCTGTGGTGGAGCCGGTTCAGGACACGATTACGTGTCCTGCCTGCAAGGGAGGAGGCTGAGCAGGAGTGATGCATGTGCTGCCTTCGGCTCTGGAGTGCCTGCCTGTCTGCCAGCCTCACCCCAGCTCCGGAGGCTTGGGACACACCGCTGCTTCCTACTGCCAGTGTTGCATGGTGCCGCAGGAAATACATGGATAACTGCTCCTGAGCAGCTGGGATCTAGAGCATCCAGAGCTGAGGAAAAACCCTTGCTTCCTGCTACCCTTCTGCTCTCCAGACTGGGGTTTCAGCTCTTGGTGTGGTTTCCATGTGACAGCCAGGTTTGTAGTGTGGTGCTGGGGGGGATGCCTGGGGGCTCTGGGATGGAGCAGCACCCAAGTGGCCTGGGCTGAGCTTTCCCTGCACACCCAGATGTGTAGGTCTCTGCTGGGGCTGCGTCCTGTGGGCACTTGTGTGACTCATCAGGCACGCGAGGAGCTCTGGCAGGAAACCAGCCAAGTTTTTTTGCAGTAGTGATATTTCTCTGCTGTTTCCTGTTGGTCCCAGCCTGGTTCCGCACCCGTGCTGGGGAGTGGGATGGGGAGCACTGGGATTGCCTGGGACATGACAGCCCAGAGGAGCCATGGGGCAGGGACTGGCTCGCCAGGCTGTGATGCAAGGGCGTGACAGATAATTTCCCTGCCTCTGGTGCTCCTTCCCAGTGGGTGTTGGGGGTGCTGGGTGTGGCACGTGTGGGAATTCAACCAGTTGACTGCTTTCCAATCGAAGACATGAGCTGTGTGTCCCCTGTGAGGGCTTGTGCCAGTGCTCTTGGCTTGCAGGACCCTCCTGGCGTTTTTGTTGGAGCAAGAACTCCGGGCTGTGCAGGTGTCTCATCCTGGGAAGACCCTAGTTTCCGTAGGCACCTCTATGGCTGTGAAACCGTTAGGGTGGGTGTTTTGCTGTCAGCATATGTACTCTGACAGAGTATAATAATTTTTCTTTTGATTCTTTTCAATAAAAAAGTCTTTGATTAAAAAATAGGGACAAAAGGGGAAGCTAGGAAACTTTCTCTTCCCTGTCAAGAGCAAGCTGTTCCCTTGCAGCACGCTGTGTGCGGATTAAAAGTGGGTGTACTTTCCTGGCTGTCTTCTTGACAGCCCCAGTGCTGAGTGCCAGAGCTGTGGACACAGTGCCAGCCTCTCCCTTCCTGCCCCACTGCCTGTGGCTGTGGTGCCACACTTGCCACCCTCTTAGAGCAGGGATACATAGGTCCGTTGCCTGATATGAAGTGGGTTACATCCAGGCTCTGCCAGCAGGATCTCGACACCATTCTGTCTGGGTGTGCCCCAAACAGGCACATGAGAGCCTGCAGGAAGAGCCAGTGGGAATGTGCATGCACCTTTGACCTTAGGACATGCCAGCTCCCTGATTGCATGGGCGGGAGTGTGTGGCTGTATAAAAGCCCTGGAGGGGCTTGCGCTGGCACTACGAGCTGGTCTCTCTGCACGATGGCTGACCCCAAGGAGCCTGAGAAGGGGAGTGTGGAGCTGGGCACCCCTAATGCTGCTCCCCCCACAGGGACCATGTCCACCCGGCGCCTCCGCAGTGAGGACTACAATGACTACAGCTCCACAGATGTCACGCCAGAGGGGAGCCCACCTGATGGCATGAATGGCTTCACCCACCCCGAGTCCTACCAGCGCTTTGGGGAGACCAACGGGACAACGTGAGTGATGCTTTCCTCCCTTCTGGCTCAGTACCTGGGGAGGGTGGATGCTTTTCCCAATATTCCCCCACTCCAGCTTGGTTTGATGGGGAGCTGTGAGGAGCAAACAGCCTGTCCAGGTTCAGAGGATACATGGGCATGTTGCAGTCAGGTTGTGGGAACTCTCTTGTGCCCAGGTGTGCAGAGAATGCTGTCTCTGCCTGAGAGACTGATCCCTTCAACTCAGAGACTTCCTTGTGCAGCCCCTTGGTGCTGAGCTGTACTCGTGCTGGGTGTTGCCATGAAGCCAGTCTTTGCAAATGTCCACCCCAAATCTGTTTGTTCAGTCTTTGCATTCAGATCTTCCTTGGTCCCACCTGACTGAGCTGGATTCAGGAAACAGGATCCAGACCTTCATGTGCATTTCCCACAGCAGCTCAGAGCTGCTGCAGACCCTCAGCAGGATAAGCTGAGTGCTAAGACTGTGCATGGTCTGGGTGTGGGCACCTGCTGACTGTCACCTCTGTTTCTGCTCTGCCTCAGGTGGTACCAGACCCTGATCCATCTCCTGAAGGGGAATATCGGGACGGGGCTGCTGGGGCTGCCTCTGGCTGTGAAGAATGCTGGCATCCTGGTAAGGCAGTTCAGCCCTGCTGTGCCAGAGCTCCTGGGCAGGTTAAAAGGCCAGCTTGGTGGCTGGTGTTGGGGCCTGACTCCCTGCCCAGATCCCTCTTGGTGCTTGGTGGCTTGCAAACTTCAGGCTCTGTGGTTTTGTTTGCTGATGAGACTGTTTTATCTGCTCCTGCACTGTGCTGCCTGATTCGTTCCGCGTGTGAGTCAGGGCTCTGGTTTCCTCTCTGGGGTCATGCAGGGCACTGAAGTCCAGACTGTGACCTCTTCGTCACCTGTATCATAAAGATGTGCAACATATGTTGGAAACCAGTCCTGGAAGCACTTTGCTATGCCCAGACTGCTCCATCTTGCTTCTTTTGCATCATTCCTGCCAAGCTCATGGCTCTGTCGGGTTATTTGGTCCCTGGGGGCTGGTTCCTGGGAGTTGTCCTTGAGTTCTGGTTCACCCAGCCCGAGGAGCTTAGTATGGAAGTAAAACATCCAGCGCAGCTCTACCTTTGGCCGTCAGAGTGCAGCCTTCCCCCTCTCTTCCCTGCAGCTGGGTCCTCTGAGCCTGCTGGTGATGGGAGTCGTGGCTGTGCACTGCATGGGCATCCTGGTGAAATGCGCCCATCACTTCTGCAACAGGTAAGGAACAACTCCCCTTCTTGGCACTGCTGTTCCTACAGTTCCTCCTTCTTGCCCAAGAAGCCCTGGGTTTTTTCTGAAGCCCCACAGCAACAAGTTGCCCATATCGAAGCCTCAGTTGGGAACTGCTGTGCTTTGTCACAAGAAGTGTTTTGCCACTGATGTCATCATTTGCCTTGGGAACAGGGCTGATACAATGTCCTTTCTCTCTCTTCTCTGCACAGGTTCCAGAAGCAGTTTTTGGACTATGGAGGTGCTGTGATGTATGGGCTGGAGGCTACTCCCAGTGCATGGCTGCGGACACATGCCATCTGGGGAAGGTATCTGCTCCCCTGCTCCAGGCAGGGACTAGTAGTCTTTAAGCCCAGCATGTCCTGCAGCTGGGACAGAAGAGCTGCTGGTCACTGAGCTGTGTCAGCAGATGAGCACAAGTGTCATAAAATGTTATTTGGCTCACCTGCCCCGAGTGCTCAGTGACCCCCAGAGGGCAATGTTGAGATCTTTGGCCCAGTCCTATCCTCAACCAGATGTGACTTGCATTAAAGGAGTGGGAGAAGTAAGTCTCTAAAGAATAACAAAGGGGTGACTAGTGTCTTGCAGTGCTGGCCCATCTTGCTAGACATGGAATATGTCCAGTGGCTGCTCCCTGCCCTGTGAGTGTCCCACATTACATCACACAGAACATTGCACATCAGGTGCTGGGGGCATTCACCTATTTCTGTGTTCAGGAAGCAATGCTTCCAGCTGTGACAGTTCAGCAGCAGACTGGGCTTGTCTCCTGAAGCTGGTCCTGACCCTATGGAGGGGATGGAGCAGGAGACTGGCGATAAGGTCCTCTCTCCTGATGATGGAGAAGGGAGCTGGGTATGCTCTGACCTTCACATCCAAACCCTCAGGGGAGCAGCATCACTGCAGTGTGCGAGTATAGCCCCAGCCAACCCAAGTGGGTTCTTATTTCTGTTTGGCCTGGCTAACAAATGGTCTTTTTTTTGTTTTCTAGGCGTGTAGTGGGACTTTTCCTGATCATCACTCAGTTGGGTTTCTGCTGCGTGTACTTTGTCTTTCTGGCGGACAATATCAGACAGGTTGGACCTATCCCTCTTTCATGAGCAAGGGGAAGGTGAGGGGGTGGTGGAGGCACTTGGGTTGTTCTTAGTTCCTGTGTCACCAAAGGTCTGGTTTGTGTAGGATATGCTGCTCAGGAAGGTACCCATCCTCTGCCCAGGTATTTTTGAGTGTTGGTTTTCCTGTTCAAACAGAGCAGGTTTTTCTGAGAGTCCTTGTGATTTTGCAGAGGTGCTGAAGCTGTCTGTGTTGCCCAGGGGCTTTTCCTGGTAAGGAATGACAGGAAAGAGGTGATAGCACAGGGACTATGCCTTTGCTGACTTGCCCTCCTCAGTTAATTGGTTTATTGGTGTATTGTGTGGGTCCTAGGACCTGCTGTGAACCTCTCTTTCGTTTTCTTGGACCTGAGTGCATTCCAGTTTCTTTCTTCATCC